GTTCGTGGTAAGATATTTATCAGTGCCTGAATTTCTTATATAATATATATATATATATATATTTTTTTTTCACAATCATGTTTATTATAAATGTAATCATAGGTATTCCTTTGTATAATGTGGTTCGACAATATTTTGGATTTCCTAAAGCTCAATCATTTGCTGACATTTCCACAAACCCTGTTGTTCAAAAAAATTTGGCTAAAATCTATCCAAATGGTGAATATGAAAATTCATTTATAAGTTTTTCTATAAATGTTAATTGACAAATGATGTACTTTTTCATTTTAGGAGTTGATACTGTAGAAGCGTTTGTTGGTGCGTTGAGTGAAGATCATTTAAATGGTTCAAATTTTGGCATGGTTTTGAATGCAAGCTTGGTGACGCAGGTAGTCATTGCTTATATGCTTCGGTTATGAATACTTTGATTATATGATTGTGTTAAATTCTTAATATATATAATTTTTTTTAAAAAAAGTATACATATATTAGGGATTCTGATAGGTTTTGGTTCGAAAACTCTGATATGTTTACTTCTGATGAACGAATTATCATACGAAATACAACACTTCGAGATATTATAACTCGTAACATTAATAGTAGTGTAAATTTCCCACAAAATATTTGGTCAGTTCAGCCTCAGATGACACTTAACAATAGTGATGATAGTAATTATCCAACCAAGATTAGTACTTGGAGTCAATATATTGTGAGTTATAGAGTTGATATGACATATGTGTATTTCAAAGTTCAACTTCAAACTTCTGATGGCAATGGTTGGTTTGGAATGGTAAGTTTTAAATACATTTTTAATAATTGTATTCTCTTATACGGTATGTTCATTATGTCAACATATATAATAGGGATTTGATCCAGAGGATGAAGGAATGAAAGGTGCTGAATTTATCATTGGCATTGTAAGTCTCAATGAAGCATACAAATTATATTTTGCAAGAATTACTATTTAAAATAACTAAAACTTTTACGTTATTTTATCAAAGGTTACCAATGGAAATGTCACATTGGGAAATTATCATGCCGATGTAGGCGGTTACCATCCTCCTCTACGTGATTCCAATCAAGATCCTACTCTTATACCAAAGTTTTCTATGTCTAATAAGAAAGCTGTAACCGT